TATATATATATATATATATAATATATATATATATATATATATATATATATATATATATATATATTTAAAATATAAAGCATAAAACAGCACCTGCATACAAACTAAATTTTTTCTTTGTAATATTTCGACCTGTTTTTGCACAGATCGTCATCAGACATCTGATGACGATCTGTGCAAAAACATATATATATATATATATATATATATATATATATATATATATATATATATATATATATATATATATAAATGGAAAAAGCACAATAAACTAACAGTTCTATTTGTGTTAATAAGGTTCGTAATATATGTTAAAAAAATTCACTTTAGGAGGTAATCCACTGATTTAAAGTGGTAACCCACTAATTTAAAGTGGTAGCCAGCTGTTGTTTTATGCTTTATATTTTAAATATATATATAAATATATATATATATATATATATATATATATATATATTATATATATATATATATATATATATATTAATTATTCACCTCCTCAAGGCCCGAGGGGGCCACTACAGTCGAGGAGGCTACTCAATTTTTATTTTATTTTTTTATTTTTTATTTTTTTGTTGTAAATCGTGGTACATATATATTTATATATACAAACAACTATGAATGCATGTTTAGATAAAACATTTGACATTACACAGAAATAGCCCGTTGCCCAGAAGCTTCAGTACATACATATACGATCTTATATGCAGTAGCACTCTAACGTTATTGGACAAACTAAATACGTTCTTTGAAAACTACACTACCTCAAAAATGTTTTTTATAATGTTTTCTGTTACATAATGTATGCGAACTGTATATAATGCTATTACTTTTTTGCTGCGATAACAGCATTGCACCTATGTGGTATTGAATCAACCAAGTTAATTAATGCATCAATTTGTACCTTCTCCCAGGTGATTTTACTTAATTCAAACATATCCTGTTGATTAGCTGGCTTGACTGCTGATTTTTCTGTCAAATTTGTTGATTAGCCCGAGTGCTGATTTTTCTGTGAGCCTAAAGTGAACAATTGGCTTCAGGCCCAGAAATTGTGAGGGAAAAAAAAATCCATGACTAACTTGGATATGCGGCAGCATGTTATTTGAATGTGGTAGCATGTGTCCTTGATTAGTCCTTTATACACTTTTTTCATAATGCATTGAACTAGATAGATAACCTACTCCATTACAACTAAAAAATGATCAAAAAATTACTGAGCCAACACCATACAGCATGTGCAAACTTGGTACTTAACATCATTACAGTAACCTACTAAATGTTGAACATATTAAATATTATTAGAGCCAATCATATCAAACTTTTTGACTTATCACTCTATAATACTTTCCACAATTGCTGTGCTTTCCAATTTAAATGTTTTATAGGGAATATCAGTTGTGACCTTCTATTTGTTTCAAAAACAAAATTTAATAGAACAACAGCCATAAAGGTTGTTTTGTCTTGAGTAACGCTTTACTCTTGCATAAAAGCAGTAAATGTGATGCTAATGCATAAAATCTCTATGAACTTCTGTAGTGGAAACTGCATCCAGTGGCTTCTGCATCCCAGCTGTCTGCATTTAACAAATTAGAGGCTGAATTTTGAAAATAAATGTTATAAAATTTCATTTCCAACCCTTTAGCAAAAAATCATTTTAAAATAAAAAAACATTTATGATAAATAACTAAATTAACAATTTATGATATACCAGTCCATCATGCTTAAACTTAAATTTTACAGCCATAATACTAAATTCTTATCTTTAATCAATAGATATTGTAAAAATAATTGAAAAATACAATATTCTTTAATATTCATTAATTTATTTTTGATGTTGGCTTGAATTGAATTTTTTCAATAATAAAAACTTTTATTATAATAAAACTTTTTTATTTTAAAAAGTTTTGCAACAGAATTGAAAGAAAAAAAACGCACTAATTTAGTCAATAACATTTTTATCTTTATTTAAATTCTGGTGTAGTATGAGATTTTTACTTCTAGGTTTTTTTATTAATAATACATTCTTACTCTCCAATAAAAAATTGTAGTTGAAAGGAGTTACTTATTTCCTTTAAGCAGCACTTTAAAACATTGATGGGAATATTTTGGAACCAAAAAGATTTTTGTTGAGACAAACTAGAATCTTTAAAATGTTTAAAAGTTGAAAACTTTTTTATGTTGTTGCAAATGAAATAGTATATATTTTATAATATACCGCATGCAAACCACTTTTCATAATCACCCAGCAAACATTCTATAGCAGAATTTCAGTGGATATATATATATATATATATATATATATATATATATATATATATATATATATATATATATATATATATATATATATATATATGTATATATATATATAATAATGCTAATGATCCACTAAGTAACCAATGAACTGCCTCAAAATGCCTTTATAGCTCCACTAAAAATCCACTAAAACAATGTTTGCTGGGTACAATTATAAGTACGCAAAATTTTAAACTAATCTTGAATGATAATAGTATAATGGTGATGTTATTATTGTGATTATACAACTATAAAGTATATTATTAAAAAAAAAAATTATTTGCAGAAAAAGTGATTTACAAAAAGTAATAAGAATGATATTTTTTAAAAAAGTAACCTCTTTTCTGAGAACTATGGTTTAAGCTTTATGTAGAGCAAGATGCTAAACAGACAAGTTATATAAACTTTATGTAAAAAATTTTATATTAGCATTTTTATAGTTCTGATAAAAGTCTAAGCTACTCAATTTGAAATATAATAAACAAATTAATACTTTCATTTGCCAAATAAATGAGGGGATCTTAATAAATGAGAGGGTCGGAATTTAAAAATAAAAGTAAACAATAAAAACACCAAACTTTTGACAAGTTTTGAGTAAATTTTCTCAACATTTTGAATGGCTGAAGCAAATAAAATTAACATTAAATAAAATTAATCAGAAACAACTCTGAATTAAAAATGGCGTAGCAGCTACGCCGTAGCTTGAACTTATAAACAATTTAAACTTTAAAATATTTTAAACTTTCAAAAATTTTTTAACATTGAAAAGTTTTTAACATTTTAAGTTTTTACATTTTTAATGTTATTTTATTAAAAATTGATCGCATTTAACTGACAAACCGAATTTAGATTATTTTAAAACGGAATTTAGATTATTTAACTTTTTACAAAAAGGAATTTCTAATATTCGAAAAAGTTTGAATGAATTAAAAAGCAAAAAAAAAAAAAAGAAAAAAAATTGTAACGAAAATTGATCTTGTAAAAATTTTAATTATAGAAAACATATTTGTTTAAATGCAAAAGTTGTCTTATGCAAAATTTTATGTAAAAGTTTATTAATTTTTTTTCAAATTAATATCAAAAAACATCCGGAAATTTCTGGAAAAATTAAAGGTCTTTTAAGTGAATTTCCAGAATTCTGGGAATTTCCGGAAAAAACTCATCTATGTTTAAAACATTTCAAATTTTAAAATTTTCAAATGTTTTGAAGGTTTTAAAATTTGAAACACTTTAAACATTTTAAAATTTGTTTCAAATTTTTAACTGTTTAAAACTAGAAATATTTTTAAACATTTTAAAGTTGTGAATTGATGTTGTTGTAATTTGTCAAAACTATTAGCAAAATACAAAGAAACGAATATAACACTAGGGCAAATAAAAAAAAGTTTAATTGTTCAAAGAAACTTTGATCAAAATCTAACTATTTAATTACAAATTATAAATTTTTTTGTCCAAATGATTTTTTTATCTATGGCATGGAAGTAAAATTTCTAATTTTTTTTTGTTTTGAATTTTTAACTACTAATTTATTCAATGGTTTTAAAAAAAAAAAGAATTCGAATTTTTTTACATATTTAAAAGTTTTGCAATAAATTAGTTAAGCCTCTTAAAGTATTAACAAGTTTATACTTTAAGAGGCTGTCTCTCTAAAAAGTCGACCTTTCAGCAAAAAATTACTTTGCTGCCAGGAAGCATTATTTACTTTTTAAAAATTTTAAGAAATTATTCTTAAAACATTTTTTTGTGTTTTTTATAGTTATATGATTTACCTACTTAAAATTTCATTAAAAAAATTAAATTTATAAGTAAATAAAAAAACTGTTTGTCTAACTACTTTTAGAAACTGCTGTGTTTCAAAATTTTTTATTATTTATTTTATTTAAATTTTTATATTAGTAATAATTCTTTATGAATTAATTATATAAACACAAAAACAATTTCATGCTAGGAAATTAACGCATTTGTACCATTTGATCCAGCACCAGCAACTGCTGGTAAAAATAAAGGATTTAATGCTTTCTGCAAGAAAGATAAATTATTTTCAATTTTTATGTTATACCATGTTATACCATTATGTATTATCCACCAGGAAGTTCTGTATTGTAAAATATTGCCATTTAAATGTGTCATGAAAATAGTTACAAAAATAATCAATTCTATTCAACTAGCTCAGTGAGTGACTAAGCAAATGATACAAATAAAGAAAATTAATTTCTCTTGAAGACAGATTGAAAAGAGAGAATTTTATATGACAATATAACTTCTCAACAATTTCATTTTAATTGACTGGTACATAAAGCTTTGCAGCATTGGACCCAGAGCTGAACATTGAACTAATTTTCATTGCGAGGGCTGATGATTTGTTTAACTAGGTTGTGGCTTTGTATAACTTAATAAATTTGTAGCACCTTTTTTATTTTTCAAAATCTGGTTCAGCAACCTAAATTTAGTATCAATATTTAGCATTATCCATTTATTCTATATTTATAATATAAAACCTTAATTATTAGAACCTAGGTATTAGAAAAAAAATTTAGGTTCCAGGAACACGGCATTTATCACCTTGAAAGACTACAAGGATAATTCTATCAACAATTTTCATTATGTATAATAAGTTAACAATAAGCAATTAGAACAATACAATATAAATTACAAAAAAATAAATACAGAAAAACAAAAATTAATGAACTAAAAAAAAAGACAAAAACCTGCTCTTTCATTTACATGCATGTTTCTTAACTCATTGACCTCAGATTTCATTTGTTCTACAATAGAACATAATCTTTTATATTTTAGCTCGCACTCAACAACAATATCCACCAATGATTGATGTGAAAACTTTAAAACAATATTTTTTAAATTTAATCAAGAAACTAAGCAATTTTCATTTAAATAAAAATAAATATAACTAATTTCTTTACAGATGTCAACAAATTAACAAAAAGATATCCTCCTAGCTTTGCCTAAAAAAATGTATCCTACAAGGCAGCAAGACATGAAGCAGGTTGTACTGGGTTATATATTACCAGTAGCAAGGTAACCTGACCTTTGAGATTAAAAATCATAATTTTTAAATTTTATTAATAAGTTCTAGCAATCATTGAAACCAAGTGGTAAAAATAAATGATGTGTAAAAAATGAAGATAAAGCATAAATAATATGTGTCAACAAAGCGTGTCGCATAGTTCAATTTACAAAAACATCATAAACAATAAAAAAATTTTAGATGCTTTTTGATAAATTTTCATACATGAACTATTTAATTATGAAATATTTTGTTATTTAGACAAAATATTTATATTATAAAAATTATGTTATCAGGCTTGGTCGGGAAGCGAGTTATTGAGTGCGATCGCACTCGATAACTGACCACGGAAATATTATTTAGTTACAAAAAACCGACCAGATATTTCAGTCGTTTTGAGAACATTTAAATTTATGTATGTTTCCTTAATTAAGTTCATTATTTTATCGTAAATTTTGAAATATTTTGTTTACAGACATACATGGGAACAAACATAAACTCGAATGTTCTTAAACAATCTTTGTGCAGAAAAGTAAAAAAAAACACAAAAAACCCGCTAAATCTTAAACAACTAATTCTATTGGTTCAAAAAATACTAACCGAAATTTCTAATAATAAATTATTAACAAACATCAAAGTTAATACATATAACTTTAACCACTAATCCATATTCCTCAGTGTACTCGATAACTGATTCTTTCCCCCAAGAAAGAAAAGTTTTTAAGCTCTTAGATATTGGTTTACAAATTCTAATTAATTTTGCTTCAGTTGCCATTCTTACAAACTCGTTATACTTAAACTTAAAGTTACTTTTTTCTGTTTTAAATACTAATTAAAATTATAAAGCCCACTCACTAAACATTATCATGCGTTATTGTGAAGCAGTTCCGCTTCCTCCTCACATAGTAATTTAAAGTATTTAGCTAATTTCTATTTAGCTAATTGAATTTCTAAACTAACTCAATGATTTAATTATTTCATTTGTTCATCTTACTGAGAAAAAGTTTTAAATGTGTTAAACTTTTTAAACTACGCGAAACATAAAACAGTTATTGAAAAAACTTTTTTATTAATAAATAAATTACCTAGCATTAGTTTTATTGGTTGAATTTTGTTGGACTTTTTAGGGTTGAGGACTGCATTATTTTGTCAGCCTTTTTTATGTGCCACAGCGTAAAAATGACTGAAAAAAATACCAAATGGTCCTCTTGACTTATGTTCGAGGAAAAAAACTAGAGGAATAAGAGTTTTTGGACCTAGGAACAGTCAAAGAAAAAGAATGAGACTTAATTGAATGACCAGTAACACAAGAATGAATTTTAGTAGATGGCACAAAAGACGCTAGCTCTTTAGACCTAGGAACAGTCACAGAAAAAGAATGAGACTTAATTGAATGACCAGTGCTCATTATAGTATTTGTAAAAAAGAGAAAGAGAAGCAACATTATGACAATGTGATAATGGTTAAAGGTTGGCTGCAAGAGCAGGTCCAACTATATTTAAAATGTGTTTTTGCACCTTGTCTAAAAGAGAAAGGGCATCATTATAAAATCCGCCACAGATATGGCAACAGTATTCCATACAAGGCCGGATTTAAGATTTATAGAAATAGAGAATAGAATCCAGAGTAAGAAACTGTCGAGCTTGATAAAGAGATACAACTTTAGCAAATGCAAATTTTTCAACGGATTTGAAATATGGTTTCCAAGAAAGATCAGAAGTAAGAGTTAATCCCAGAAGATGAAGGTAATTAAATAGTTTGAGTTAAATAGTTTTAATTACTCATAAAATGAGTAATTAAATAGTTTAAAAAGTAATGAAAAAATATCATAAGAGGTTTAAGAAAAAGTTGCTGTTTGCCATCATTTAAAAAAAGAACAAGTGATATTATTTCATTTTTTTCATTTAATATAGGTTTAATAGAATCAAGACTTGATGTTTTTTAATACTTATGAAAGTCAGGGTTAGCAGACTTTAACAACCTCAAATATAGGCCCTATTTTTTGGTTACCGCATTATTTTTTATTTTTATACATTGTCGCAAAACTTTAGCGGATTCTATGTCCCTAAGTCCTAAAAATGTTTTTTATTTATTTAAGTTACAAGTACTAATAACATTTTTTAAATAAAGCGAGTACCATCTTTTTTTCCATTTTTATTTTATATTGAATTTAATGTTTTTAACTCTATTTTAAACTAACTCATAGTCAATCCATTAATATTTAACTATTTAACTTACATTTTACATTAAATAAATCTATTATATAATATATAAAATTATTGGGATATTTATTTGTGAAAACAATTTTTTGGTAGTTATCTACACAAACAATTGAAAAATCAAGATTGAAATAAAATATATTCCATCTAGATTTTTTTTTTTTTTTTTTTTGTAGATATCTATAAAAAAAAAATTGGTTTTCTCCAATAAATCCCATAATAATTTGTATAGTAATATAGACTTTATTGTAGTGTAATAGTTTTTATATTAATACATTTAAGGTATAGTATAGCTCCACTTTATTAGTGGCACCCATGTTGCTTCTGGATTTAATAATAGTAGAAATCCAGAAGCAATAAGAACCTTATCCTTCCAGTTTCATCAGTAAAGGTAGGGTTTTTCTGTTTAATATGATTGTAACTGATGTAAAGATCTTCGATAAATGTATTTCAATCAAAGCATGGTATTTCAATGAAATGTATTGGTCAATCCAAGTCACAACTAAAGATCTTTAGTAACATATTTCAATCAAAGCATTGTATTGTACAGTCACAATGTGTACGAATTATTTGTCACAAACCTAGGATCACCCTTTCTGCTTCCTATTTAAAAATAAAACTCAACACCTTACAAAAGAGAAGAAATGTTTATGTAACAAAAATTCTCAAATCTGCATTAATAAGCATATACCATCCATCTATAGCATGTTTACAAAAAACAAAGATTCAAAGCTTATAGTTAAACTGTCAAAGATGCTTAAAATTTTCTGTTGCATATCAGGTAATTTTTTAATTTTGCCAGTGACGTGCTTTTTTTAAACAAATGCAAAAAGTTTTTACACTTTTAGAGTTCAAGTGAAAAAAGTATTCAAACATTATTAAATGTATGTGATGTACTTTTATTCATAGATCTGTTATAATTAAAAAAAAAAATTTAATACAGCTTTATGAATTTTCAAGTTTTTAATTATTAATTTCATTGTTTTTGTGTTTCTTTTTGATAAATTCAATTTATGAAATTAATGTTATCTTAGATAACACTTTAACTATTAACTTTCTTATTTTAATATTTTTATATCCTTTTTATTTTATTATTTGTGCTTTTTTTTTAGTCTGTTAGCAAAGAATATTTTTATTTTATCTGATGTTGTTTATTGATGCAAAAAAATTAAATTATAGCTTATGACTTTTTTTGTTTTGGTGACTTTTGTAATTATCATGACAAGACAGTTTTCATTAATCTTATGAATGCATACATTCTGCTTGAATTGACTTCAATCCATTATAATTTGACTAATCTTGAATAATGACAGTTAAAGATTAGAGGTGCTTGTCGTGATCCTGTTGATTGGAATGTATTATCATTATCATAATTGCAACAAAGAAGTTAGTTTTTTTATACTTCTTTATTGCAATCATGATGTGTACACTCTGATTATGTGAGTATACCCATGATTTGTGCGATTGTCAAGAGGAACGCATTTTGGCTAAAGATTACAATATTGTAAAGTGTAATTATATTTTATGATTGTTAACGAGCGATTTGCGTTAATTGTAAATAATTATATATAATATAAAGTCATAGTTGTAAATACCTAGAGAACATGATTGTATAAAAATTATGTTGAATTGCATTAGAAAATATGAGGCGTTTAACGCTAAACTTATAAAGTCGATTTTGATGTAAAACTACAAGCTATTTCGGCTAAAATTGATTTAAAGTTAATTCGGGAGTTTAGTGGAAACGATCAACAATCAGTTGCAGAATGGCTGGAAAAAGTGGAACTAGTATGCAAGCTAATTGATGTAACCGATCTAGCGAGTCAAATGGTGCATTTGCAGTATATCAACAGTTAGAGGGAGAAGATGTTTGCGCCAGCTCTCTCCCCAAACGATCATAATGGCGTTACCTAATATATGCTCGAACATTAACAGCATTCTTTGTGATGTGTTGATTGACTTTGGATGTACTTGCTGTATCATTTATAAAAAATGTGCGCCAAAAATTACGAAGAAAGTAGTTAGCATGGTAACTGTAAATGGACAACAACAACAGTGCGAAGGCGTTAGCTGAACTCGAATCGTCACGCCAAATGGGAATAAAGTTTTTGTGGAAGCATTTGTAGTTGACTTCAAACCACTTAGTTATTGTTTTTTGATGGGTATGGATGGAATAGTGGCTTTTGGTGGAGTATCAATATCTGCAACTCGTGATGTTTGTTTTATGGGAAGAATTGAATCATGTTTACTTGGACTAAGAAGTGATATGCCAAAAGATGTCAGTAATTTGAATATAACAGCTCGTGATTTCACAGCTTCGTTCGAAAAACAAAATCGAGAATGGATAATTGCGTGGAAATAGAATAATAATTCTCAACCTGAAACTTTAGTGAACAAGATTGCTGAATACACTATCCCTGTTGGCATAAAACACGATTACAAAAAATAAATTGAAGGATGGATAGAGGAAAAATGACAGGAAATCTTCCAGTTTGTGGTTGGTTGCGTGTAGCCTCGTCATATGTTAAAAGAACAGCAAATGCCTAGACGAAAACCTGGGATGAAAAAATAAAATGCAATTATCTAGAGAAAATGCTGAATGATATGATACAGAGAACAGGAAATGACGATCCTGCTAAAGGAATTTGGAGTGTTTACAGTAACAAGGCAACAATTTAAGTAGATGTTGATTCAATAGCACTAGGCGTGGTTGTCGAGGTTGATAGCAATATAATTGAAGACGCTTCTTGGTTAAGAAAAGACGACACAACACATATAAACATGTCTGAACTTGATGCAGTAATTAAAGGACTAAATATAGGCCTTAATTGGAAAATGGAAATTCTACACATCTTCGCTGATTCGAAAGCCATATTCCATTGGGTTACCGACACACTCACAGGAAAATATAGATTGAGAACAAAATGCTTCAAAGGAAATGCTGATAAGAAGAACACTTCATAACATTGCGAATATAGTGGAAGAATACCAAAAAAAGACGCTAGCTCTTTAGAGCGGCGCTTATTATAGTTTATTTAGAAAAGAGAAAGAGAAGCAACATTACAACGATGTGATAATGGTTAGAGGCTGGCTGCAACCTTTACTTGTTTATTTAGATTATAAGTTATTTATATGCAGATATTTATATTGTCTATATGATTCTATAATACAATTTCTTATAGTGTTTGAACATAATTAGAGATAAATAAATTAATGTTAAGTGATTATTTTATTATATTTATAGTATCAACTTTTTCCTGCATCAACGACTTGACAAAAGAAATTGAATTAAATGTGGCTCCATTTTTAACAAGGCAAGAGATCGCTATCGTGGTCAATTGTGGTGAGGTATGTAAATGGCTGATGTTTCAATTGATGAAGAGAAAAATAACAATAGTTAGAAGGGGATTGAAGAGGATGGTGATAACGATCCTTCACAAAAAATTGGAAGATTTGTTAAAATAATTATTAATATCATGTTTTAAATAAATACTTATATGAATACTTTAAATATAAATTTCAATAAATAATAATACAAATTATTGAAATGATGTTTTTAAAATTTTGTTAATAAAAATTTTTTCAAAAAGAGCCACGCTATACTACTTATCTTTCCATTTGTAGTGTGTGGTATTTTTTTGTTGTCGCAATAGGATCATCCTTTAATGAACCCTTATATTTGGTGCAGACATTTTTATCAGGTTCTCTAAAGTATTTTTAAGGCGGATGGTGGTGTCTAATATAACATTTGCTGTTTGATGGACAACACGTGATGTTGGTATGACTTATCTGGGTTTCAATGAAATAATATTTTATATATATATAATTATATAACATTAATATATATATATATATATATATATATATATATATATATATATATATATATATATATATATATATATATATATATATATATATATATATATTTGTCTTACAAATTGCTCAAAACACCTCTGGATTGCTATAAACTACACAAATTAGTGGACAAGGATAACTTACTTTAGTTCCAAAAATATTTACATGCACTTCTAAATCTAGTATCTACAGAAGATTATATGTACTATAAAGGTTTGCTATGAGGAGAATATTTATTGTAGGATACATGTTTTTTTTTGTTTGTTTGTAATGTGAATTAAATCAATATACCAGCATATCGATAATATTAATTTACTGGTATATTGATTTGATTCACATTACTAAGCTATAAGCATTGCATCCGGTCTCACTGCAAAATAAATAGATTAAGTTAACTTGAAGTTTTAAATTACATGTTCGGTCTTGTCTTTTTTATTTTTTTTTTTAATTTTTATTTTGTTTTTTTACCCACATAAGACACCATTCACAGAGCACTGCAAAAAAAGGATTTAACAGGAAGTTCACACCAACCACGGATCCCTATATTTAAATTGTGGAAGGTTCAAAGGTATATTGATTTAAAAGATATTTCTTAACAGTTCTTTAAAGAAGGTGTGAAATCACAAAAAATAAAAACGGCATTAAAACCTATATTGGATTAAAAAAGAAGGGCTGAATTTTAGCACTGCGTATTTAGATTTTTACAGAAACATACAGAAACTACTAAAAATCACATTCAAGTGAGCTATTATTTCTGTCTAAAAAGTTACCTTTCCCTGCATTTTTAAGGCAAGAAACGTAACTTGATAAAAACTTTTACATACTCTGAAAGCTTGATTAATATTCTATTAATTGATTGGTGTACAATAGCTAAAGTTGGTTTGTGATACAAGTTAAAAATTATCGTTTTTTTGCTAAAAGATTATTATTATTTTTTTTAATGACAAATATGTACAGCTGCGGGGAAACATCAAGTGGTTTGACCTTTTTTTTTAAGAAAATGAAAATGTTGGAAGTTTGCAACAATCTTGTTTAAATTTTTTATATCAGATTTATACAAAAAATGGGATTTTTTTTACAAAAATTGAATTTGCAAAAAGCCAATCAGTTATTCCTGAAGAAACAATTCGTATAATAAAACATTGTAGAAAAACCTTACTTTATTTTAATAAGGAAACTTGGAAAAAGAAAAACATACATGATGCTTTGATGTAAATCAAAATAAAAATTGTGAACTTTCTTGGCGTCATGTTTAACCTCTCTAAAAATTCATATAAGCCTTTCAAAAAACCAAATGATGAATTATTCTATATTATTAACTCAAATCATGCACCCCAAATTCTAAAACAAATCCTGATTTCAATTAACAACAGGCTAACTTATGTATATATATATATATATATATATATATATATATATATATATATATATATATATATATATATATATATATATATATATATATATATATATATATATATATATATATATATATATATTATTTATACTATTTAATGAAAATTTTTAATTAGGATTTATCAAATCCTATTAAATATTGTTGTCAAGACGTGTTTATGTTTATTTAAACAACAACAAAAAATAACATTTGTCATAAATGATATTTTTTTAAAATGGTTTATCATAAATATGTAATCTTAATTAAACATGACATAAATTTAATGTCATGTTTATTTATATTTAATTAAGACTACACGTAGTACGTGTAAAATTCAGATTAAAAACCTGTAATACTTCCACTTTCACCTGAATTAGTATCTTCGAAACTACTCATATTTACATTGTTTTCATAATTACTTAATTCATCCATACTCCTAATTATTTAGATAGCACAAGAGACGCTAGTTCTTTAGAGCAGTACCCATTATAGTATTTGTAGAAAAGAAAAAGAGAACCAATGTAACAACGATGTGATAATGGTGTTTCAATAACGAGCATGTTTCACGTGAAACATGTTTTTTATTATTCAACAATCATTAAAAATGATTGTTGAATAATAAAAATTTTTGACAATTTTTTTTTTCAAAGTATTTTGTTGTTGATGTCTTTGTAGGCAATACAATTCCATAAAAATAAATAACAAAAATTTCAAATAAAACCAAAAATATTTTATGTTAGATGAATTCTTTTATTTTTAAAAATTAAGGGATGTCTTAATTACTTTCAAATTTATAAGGAGATAATCAAATTTATGGGGAAAAATCAAATGCTAATTTATAGGGACATGCAACTTTAAGTTGAGTGATTTTTTTTTCTTTTATTTGAACAATATCATTTCTATGTCTTACCTTCGAAAGTTCCAATTTTCTGTTTTCATTGTTTTCTTTCCCTTTCAATTCCTTAAAATATTAAAATTATATAATTTATAAAGCAGTTAATAAAATTTAATGTTTTAAAACTTCTACCTCCCCACCTCCCTCTCTCACCTCACCTTCTCTCCCTTAAAAAAAAGAAACATTTAAAACATGAGTTGCATTAATTTATTTTTTGCAAATGACCTACAAGCAATCAGTAGATTTTATTGGTATTATTGATTTTATTAACAAATGCTATCATTGTTATCTAAAAAAAAAGGAAGCCAAAATTACAAGACTAAATTATTAAAAGAGGAAAACAGTGACCTGTTAACAAACGCTATCTTTGCAATTTATAAAAAATTCCAAAAATTAAAGGAATGTAAAAATTAACAAAAAAAAGATCATTTTAAACAGTGAATTTTTATACAAAAAGATCTCTCTTCTTTTTGTCACTCTAAAATAAATTTTATTGACAAACATAGAGTAAATAGGATTAGTAAAGAAGATTAAGGATTAACAACTTTTTTAAAAAAGCGTTTTTTAAAGAAATCAAACAATAAAATTTCACTCACTTTTTTTTTTTTTTAATTCTAATTCACTCCAACAAGACTGAAGGCAACCATTATAAAGTCAAAAAGCAAGAAAACGGATGGAAGAAGAGTTGAAAAGTTGTAGGTTGTATGAGTCAGGAAAACATGAAGATGGCAGAGAGTTACAAAAGTTTGATGTGTGAGAAAAACAAAATAGACAAATAAAAGTTTTTAGAGCATGCAGGAACAGAAACAGTACAAGAACTTTGCTAAATACATAGATACAACTAGAATAGTGTTAGTGGCATTACCAAGTAAACTTGGTAATGCCACTAACACTATTCTAGTTGTAGTAAAGAAGATAATTTTTTAACTTTCAACTTTAATTAATTTTTTTTAACAGTAAATTTTTATTTCATGCACATTATTTGAGTTAAAAATGTTAAAAATAAAATTTTCAATGAAAAAAAAATCTAATTGATAGTTTATGTGTGTAACAAATGAGAAAAAAAAGGTAAAATGATTTGCGCTAAAAAAAAAGACATAATATCAGGTCAAAGGATGCTGGGGGGTCAGGTTAATGTCCCTTACCCCCCCTCCTCTCACTTTTTTTCTGTTTTGAAAGTTGTAGATACTGATAACCTTTGGTATCACTAGACTAATTGGAAATTAGTCTTTCTAAAGTGAACAGTAAGGAAAGACTTGATAGATTTGAACTTATTGTGCATTTGGAACTATTAATCATTTTGTCCCTTGTCAACAGATTTCTTTTCTATAAACTGATTACATGTTTGACTACAGTCAAGATTGACCCAAATCTTTAAAAAGTCAAAATGTGGTAATAATTGCCATAGCAGATAGCTTGCTACTGGAGAAGCTAATTTTTTTCTACATGAGAGACCATGGGTTTACTGATGATGTGCTAAGAAGACTTCAAAATGGCTAGCTCAAGTTTATTTTTACATGTGGTATAAAGTCAAAGCAAAACACAGGTCCCAGAACACACAATAACACTGTTAAGACCGCTTAAGAAACAAAAGGAAAGAATCTATATATATATATATATATATATATATATATATATATATATATATATATATATATATATATATATATATATATATATATATATATATATATATATATATATATATATATATATATATATAAACACACGCCATACTTTATTCATATCTCAAGACATATTTCTTAACGCTGTTTTTGCACTCAATATAAAAACGTGCTTTTTAATTTTTTAGAAAAAGAAAAAAAAAGAAAAATGAAAGAAAAGATGGCTGGCCCATGCCAAACTTTTAGTCAATGTAGCAGCAATCCTCTGCTATATATATATATATATATATATATATATATATATATATATATAATATAAATATATATATATATATATATATATATATATATATATATATATATATATATATATATATATATATATATTGAGCAAGAGCTCTTGCTTCGGAAGCAAGAGCTCTTGCTTTGGAAGCAAGCATTAGCTGTCGCTCTTGCCCACACTCCCCTTAAATGACTTACGGAAGAAATTTACAGCTTTCCCAAAAGTTTTTTTTCTCTTAAAAGTTTTTTTATCATTGTAACTAAAATGAAAAACGCAAAGTCAAAAAAGTTTTATTCATTGGATAACAAATAGACACGGTTACTGCAAAAAAAAAAGGTAACGTCTAAAGAATTTTTTTCATGGCGCAATAAATGATGCTTTTTATGTGTATATTATTGTTACATTAACGTTTCAAACATATGCCTGTAAAAAGGATAAAACTAAATTTTGTATTTAATAAACAATTTTTATATAAATAATCAGATAGCTTGTGCAAAAACTCTTGTAAAAAGCAGTTTAGTGGAGCAGCTTGCATGGCCATGTTTGTTTTAGGAGACCGAGAGACCACAATATCTTGCGCTCATTACCGGGAGTAAATGAGCGCAAGATATTGTGGCGCGCAAGATATTATGAGCGCAAGATATTGTGTGTATATTTGGAAAAAATCCGGAATATATTTTTTCTTATTTTCCTCTTAGTTTTGCTTTTAGCTGAGCTGTTTTGAAAAAAAAAAAAGTTTAAAAAAAGTTTGGAAAAATGTTTTCGTTGTATATATATATATACAGTGAATCCCTGTTATTTAAACTTTCTACATGAAAAAGAACTTACTTTGAATAACCAAAATTTCTAATAATTGAAAATCCTGTACCGGATAAAGTTGGGGTTGGGGAAAAGTCACAGGCCACGAATGCCATGAATTTTCCAAGGAAATTTAAATAAGTGCCAGTTTGAACAACCAGGAGTTTGTTGTATAAACTCTTGCTTGGTCTTTAATTTTTACAATAAAATGTTAACTCAATGTTTTAAAAAATTTAATTTAGTAGATCAGAAAAACTTTTAAGAAAATTTTAAAAACTTTTAAGAAAATTTTAAAAACTTTTAAGAAAATTTTTATTCAATTCATAGATTGCCTGACTAAGCTGTCGATGTAGCAGCATTCCTTTTTCTTATTTTTCAGTCAATTTAGCAGTGCTCCTTGCATGTTCTACCTATTTTTCAGTCAATGTAGCAACACTGCTTGCATGTTCCACCTAATTATCAGTCAATGTATTTAAACAGTAAAAAACATTCAGAATGATTTTATTTTTTTGAAAAAACAAAACAAAACAACATTCCAGTTTATAAAGTTGTATTTTTGTGGTTTTTTAAAAAACTATACTATAAAATTTAATTAGTTGCCATAATTCAATTTAATGGCTTTTATATAAAGTTTACTTGATTTTGCCATTTTTTTTTATCATAAATGGTAAATTTAGATGTCAAACTATAAATATATATATACATATATATATACATATATATATATATATATATATATATATATATATATATATATATATATATATATATATATATATATATATATATATATATATATATATATATATATATATATATATATATATATATATATATATATATATATATATATATATATATATATATATATATATATATATATATATATATATATATATATATATATATATATATATATATATATATATATATAATTAAGTAATACTAATAAATTATGAATCATAATAAAAAACTGAATAATACTTTAGCATGATGTTGCAAAATTAGGCCAAAGTATTGTTAAGTTATTTTATCTATAATATTCTGTTACTAAATTCATTTATTTATTATATCAGTTATTATATTCAGTTATTTTTAACGATACAAGATAATTATCGCAATTTTTATGCATTTTCTATTTGTTTATTAATTATAATAACAGCCAGAAAATAGAAATATAATTAAAATTTTATACGACAATCAAAATACTCAGTATTTTAAATATACATGAGAGTTCTTAGTATTAGTTGCTATAATGTATCAACTTAAACTTTTAAAAGATCCACCTTATCTAAAGCACTTCTTTCATTTTTATCTGAAGGTTTCTCAGAGTTTCTAAGCGATTTTTTCAAAACTGATTTTCTTAAAGATGACATAATAAATATAATCTATGAACAGCAAGAAATTTTTCCAAAAATTTTGTAAACACAAAAAGTTTAGCGCCAAAAAATTTAAAACATTACTTCGGGTTGGTTGAATTTAACTAACCGGGTCAGACGATTCGGGTTAGATTATAACCCGAATAAAATTTAACCCGAATCGTTATTGCTCGTAGTTTGCGTCATGACTTAGTCATAAGATTAAATATATTTTTCTTATGACTATGGTCAGGGTTAGGGTTAGGTAAACTACGATATGCGCAATGTGTTGATTTTAAAAAACCTATACAAGTGCATTATTATGCGTTGATTTTAAAAAACCTAGGCATGCATTAATTTAACAATGCATGCGCACGCAAAAAATTTTGAAACATTTAATATTTTACTTGTCGTATATATTGTAACTTTTTAAGGTGGTTCATACTCTTTTTTTTAGTCAAAAATCTAAAAAAAAATTTTGGCTTTTTATTATGCAAAATTTAATAATAAACTCGAGTATATTATTCGAATTTATAAAAATATTGAATATGTTGACTATAGTTCATTTTTATGCAACCCTTTAAAAATCACGCTCTAAGCAACACCATAGCAACGAATCCTTAATATTGAAATAAATTTCATTACAAGCTTGAAATCTTGCATTATCAAATTGGAAAAAGGTTATTGAAGCTGAAAAAGCAAGACAATACATATTTAAAATCCATACTTTAAAATAATATTAATTGTTTTATTGCATTTTTTTTAGTTTTAACCTGTTTTCATTTTGGTATTGTGAAGGAGTTGAAGCAGAACCAAGGCAAATTTTTTAAAAATGTAGAAAAAAAATGTAAATTTAATAGCTTTTTTTGTATTTACCCCTATTGAATTTTTGCATTTTTTTACAACTTTTTTAATAATTTTTGTAAAATAAGTTAGAATTTTCTAAATCTGCTTCAACTCCTGAGCAACTACCTTGATAGCCTGAAAAAGGTTCAAAAAGCAAATCTTAATTGCAGATTTAAATTTCATCTTTTTAAGCATAAAAGTATGAATAAATGAGGCAAAATTATATATATATTTTTATTTTTTATTTTTATAGAAAATGTTCATTGATTTATATAAGTTAACTTAAAAAAACACTTAAAATAATTAGCTTTCTTTGAAATTTTTTTTCAGGGTATGAACCACGTATGAATAAAGTTTACTTTACCTGCAATTTTATATAATTGATAGCAGAGAGAAAATATAATATAATGATAATTGAATTAAAAAAACCATAATTTTAACCAGATAAAAATTTTAGCATTAAATTAAAAATCAAACGAATCACAAAATAAAAGTGAAATAAAATGATAATATATATTATTATTTTATTAACAACTATAATGTTTGCTGATAATACAAACCTACTCTTATCTAATAATAACGTCAATAAACTTTTTTATAATATAAACATTGAACTAACAAAAATATCTGACTGGTTTAAGTCAAATAAACTTTCACTCAACATTGATAAAACTAAATGGATTTTCTTTCATCTACGATTTAAAAAACATTTACTTCCAAGTAATATGCCTCTTCTTCATATTGATAATATTCATATAAAAAGAGTAATTTTCACAAATTTTCAAGGTATCATTGTTGATGAAAATTTATCATGGAAGAATCACATCGGACATTTATGCAACAAAATTGCAAAAAGCATTGGAGTTTAATATAAAGCAAGAAGCGTTTTAAACAAACATTCATTAACACAACTATATTACTCTTTTATACACTGTCATATTAATTATGCTAATATTGCATGGGGTAGTATCCATAAAAGTAAATTAAAGCCACTTTATTGTCAGTAGAAGCATATTGCATGTCTTATAAATTTCAAAAATCGTTTTACTCACTCAAAGCCACTCTTATTTAACATGAATGTTTTTAATATATATCAAGTAAATGTTTATAATGTTCTTTGTTTTATGTTTAAATGTAAAACCAACTCATCTCCAGCTTCCTTTTTCGATTTATATTCTTTAAAAGAAAAAAATAAATATTCTTTAAGAAATTATAATTTTATTAAATAACCAAAATTATAAACAAACTTTGGTAAATTTTGCATTTCTTTTCGTGGAGCTTTTTTATGAACCAAATAATTTTAAAAATTTTTGATTTTTCTCATGAATGGAATTATTATAAGTTCAATAGAAAACTAAAAAAAGTAATTTTCTCAATTGAAAATATATTTACATACTTTTAATTATACCCAGTTTTGTCATCACTCATTTATATTTTACTTTTATACAATATTGATTTAAAGTTTATGTGAGAAACTATATTTAAACACCATTATTTGAATTTTGAAAAAAGTTGCACTGACATTATTTGTACAGTAGTCTATTACTATTTACACGTTTACTTTAATTTTTATTTTTATTCGTAATATTTGTAAATAATTTGTCTTATGAACGATATACTTTTAATATTGAATTTAATTTTGTAATTAAAAAAAAAAAAAATTGATGTATGTGAATGGATGTATCTGCAAGTATTGTATGTATAATACTTCACGAAGTTAACCATCTTTTGACGGGTGTTTAGTATTTTTGTCGGTGTAAGCGTAAACATAAACGCACCAACATTTGATAATTTTTGCTTCACACACAAGGACACCATCATTTGGCTTTCTAAATTCTTCTACACAATCTTTTGGACAACCTTGAAGTGCATTTGGATGAACCTAATGCAATCATATTCTTATTATTTTCGTTTATTTATTAATTAATTAACAATTAAGATTAGTGCAATTGTAAGATTCGTATAGATGCGAGTAAGATGCGAGACGTATTTGTTTATCAAGAGTATTATGATATTATTGTTTTCGCTTGAGTCATGCGATTCAAAAGAATTAGTATTTTAATTCAAGCCATAAAGACCATAACTAAAGAAAAGTTTAAAATTTCTATTTATTTATTTTTGTTTTTTTCTAAAATCGAAATTAAGTTCAAAGTTCTTCAATAGCGGTTTTCGGTGACATGACCTGTATGGTCTTCTTTGAGTATCCGCGTTCATTATCTTTATTCTTTATTTTTTAACGGTTTCTTTGCATGTAATTTATCTTGTTGATATATTTGTAAATATTGTATTAAATATTGTAATAAAGAACAAAAAAAAAAATTATTATCAGCGTCGTATTTAGGTGGGAAGGAGTGAGACTAATCCCCCTAGGAAAATTTTGACACTGAAGTCGGCAAATACTGAGTTTTAGTTTTTTTCATTTTTGTTTTAGGTCTTACTCTGAGCAAAAAAATGATTTTCTGATAGTAGGCAATATTTATTTCTTCAAAACCTATTTTTCAATTTATTTTTTTAAATCTTGATTTCAACGGAAATTTTGTGTACAGTAACTAATGCGTTAGTTAATATTTTAGCAATGAAAAATTAAAAAAATAACTTTTCCTTTTTAAAGATATAATTTCCTGTAAAAACGGGGTAGTTGACTGTCACAATTTTTTTTAAAGTCTATTTTGGGACGCCGGGACAGCTTAACTAAAATCGGGACAACCCCAGAAAACGTATACGTCTGGTCGCCCAGAATTGCTGTTAAAATGAAAATGCATTGGTTTTTCATGGTTTTTTTTAAAATCAATGCCACCCCCACCTCTAATATTAGCAAATTAGATGCAACAAACCAGATTAAATTTCTAAAAAAAATTTAAGACATGTTTTATTTTATTTTTATAAACAACAAATTGATATAATGAGGCAACAACGTTCCTACGACAACTATTACACAAGTTTTAGGATCACACTTTGTATAATTATACAAAGTTTAATTTTATCATACTTTACATAGTTACAGTTACAATTTGTACAAAGTACTTCACTAACCCTAACCCTTAACCTAGTAGTCAAATGCAAGTGTAAATAAACTGTGTATTGCGTATGCATTATAGACTTTGCAACATGAGAAATTACGTGGAAACAATTTATAGATTTTTACATTTGCATTAACACAGATTCTATTTTCTTCTATTTTTTAACAACATATCTTTAAACAGGCTTTATGAAATTTTGTGAGAAAATCTGTTATCCAAGAGAAATATTTTTTATATATGTCAATCTGCATTTTCTAAATAAATTCATATATCAGTAAGATATATAAATTTATAGCGTGATTATTCATAAAAAATAGAACACAATACTTTATGTTAAGATCTGATAACTCGAATATTCTGATGTTTCAATAAAACCCATAAATATTTTCCATAAATATTTTTTAATACTATTTTACAGTTACAACTTTAGGGGCTTAATATTGTAGGTTACTCAATCATATCAAGTAAATTAAAATTTGATATTCAAGGTATTGCTCTCCAATAAATTTGATCCATATCTTCTTATCGCAATTTGTCTCCATCAATGATGGCAATTCTTTTCCAATAAAATGCTGCAGATTTTATTGGAAAAGAATTGTAAATAAAATGTGGAGCCTTTTAAACTCTCCACATTTTATTTAAGATAAATATATATGTAAAAATTATATAAACCTGTTTAATATGAGTTCATAACTTATTTTTTCTTACTATTAGTCACACCTTTATTCATAACCCAGCAATTAATTTATTATGTAATTTTCATGATTTTGTTTTAAGCTTAGTCATTCAAACGTTAATAAATTTTCAAGTGTCTGTTATCTGTTATTCTCACGCGTTTTTAGTTTAAATTTTAGTGTAGTTATTAAGTTGTTAAGTTTTAAAATCTAGAATTAATTTATTTAAAGTTTAATAAGAAAGTTTAGTCTTAATATAGTTACACTATGATAAACGCATGTGCAAAAAAAACATGATATTTAAAAATCACATTAACAAAAAAACATATTTAAACTTTTTAAAAACTTTAATATAAGTTAAGGTCAGAAGCGTCCCGAGGGGGTTAGGGGTAATGGCCTTCTGGACAACCCTGGTTAAGACTTTTTATAAGAGAAAATATAAATAAGAAACGCTACAGAATACTCGCACAAAGAATACTCGACCAGAAAACTAAACAAGTTGTAAAATGCCAATCTAATTTAAAATATAATTCAGGAGAAGTTATTTTAGTTTGCAGTAAAACTTGCAGAGACTATTTTACAATAAAAAAATTATTTGGAAAAAAAATTTTGTATTGTAAAATAAATTTTTTTTTTCTAAAAACACATCTTTTTCAATAAAAGGAATTTTTACAATAAAGAAAAGACTCTGCTAAATTAGCAACAAAAACGTTCGTAAGCAGAACATTAGTTATAAAAAAGAATAACTTTTAGAATAACAATGCAGTTTCATTCCACAATGGAATTCTATTTCACAATATTTTAAAGCTTCCGTGAAATTCCATTACTACTTCCATGGAATTCCATGACAACTTCCGTGAAATTTGATTACAACTTCCCTGGAATTCCATTAAAACTTCCATGAAATTCCATTCGCTATTTACAAACCCCCTCTCCTCATCAAAGCGTACGTACTTTATGGACGATCCCTTAGGATGAAAATCAAAAAATTGCATTGCATTTTTTATAAATTAAAAAAGAATAAACAAGTTATCTAAACAAAAAAATTTTTTTTCAATTTAATTTAAAATATAATTCAGGAGAAGTTATTTTAGTTTGCTGTAAAACTTCTTAACCAAATTAATGGCAGAAAAAGTGAAACAAATTCTGAAGCAGCTAATTGATTTTAATGATCCAAAAGTTCCAACTGGCATTTGTGAATTGCCGTTCCAACCCTAGGAGGCTTGAAAAGGGAAAGTTTTAAACCCAACCACTGGTGTTTGACTTTTTCACCATGAAAGTCCGTCCTGTTGCAAGAGATTCAGTTTTTGATTTTTTGTTTTGCTCAGTTGGCACAGCAAAGCACAATTCTTCTCATCCAGTCTTAGCAACCCAGAAACCTGAAGCAAACCAGAACTCAGTTGAAAGAAGATGTTTTGAATGCTTTTCAATTGTTGGTAAGGGTCTGCCACACAATTGCTCAAAGTGTACTAGCAGAAGTCGTGTCAAAGGACTCTGTGGCAGCTTAAAGAGTCGCAACATCAGTCATTGTCAACAAGGATGTCAAACCATAATAGAACAGTTCGTCTTAGTAGACCTAAAAAAATAGTAGGACACCCTATTCCAGTTCTTCTAGGTAACATTGTATTGATATTTTAAGTTTTAGCTTTATATTTTTTTTGATATTTTAAGTTTTAGCTTTAAGTCTATGTAATACATAATAATGTAAAATCTCTCTTAATTATTTCCAAGGTTTAATGTCATTTTACAAAAACTTGGATCAAAGTTACAACTGACAAGGAAACAAATTAAAAAAATAAACTTAAAATTCACAGCAAAGACTTTAGAGTTCTTTCTCAGCAATTTCTTGAAACTAAAAATCTTGCTGATGACTATATTGTGAAGCTGGGAGTGGATGGTGGATTTCTAAAAGCAAGCTTTAAAAGTAAGCTGGGAGTGGATGGTAGATTTCTAAAAGCTTTGGAATTATGGAAAAAGATTCAGCTTCACCATCAAAACAATTTTCTAACAATTCTCTGGAAAAAAATTCTGGTGTTAAGCCTCAGTTACTGATTGCCAATTCTGAAGATCTCCAAGAAAGTTATAGCAATATCGCTCTGTGAATGATACAGGCTCTGTGTGCAGATTTTTTTCATCGCTGATGATTTTTTAATGAACCTACCATGGGAGGGGTTGGTGACATTCTAAGCTTCATATTCGTATTTTTCTTTGTATTTAAAAATAAAAAGAATACTATATTAATATAATGGTACTTATATTATTCAGGTTGAAAACAGTAAAAATAGTAGCAAACTTTGGCAAAATGGTCTTCCTCGTAAACTTGCTTCGTGTGATGTATCTGAGAAACATTTTTAGGTTATTAAACCATTTTTGTAACCGCGGCGTTAAAGTCATTCTCGATGATCAACACACTTTTTCTATTTCCAGTAGCTTCTGAAGTACCTAAATATTCTATCTTTGATTCTGAATAGTTTCTTGTTTACAATAATGATCTTCCTAACAATTTTACTTTGTACGACTCAACTTTATATACTTGTCTTGACAAAAAGCCTTTACTTTTCAATAATTTCACTTCACTTCACTTCACTTTTCAATAATTTCACTTCACTTCACTTTTCACTTTTCAATAATTTTGAGTCTGATCTCCCTTTTTGTAACAGGCGCTTGCAGTGGCTTGTGAATTTTAACTCCAGCAAAACTTAGTTATATTATGTTGACATCACTATATTGATGAATGGTAACTTTCTCACCGAGTCCTTTTCTTTACGTTTTCTTAAACTATTATTTACTACTAACCTCTCATGGAAACCATGGAAACAATTGATTGCAAAATCTATTAAGATTGCTTCTCTTTATCGTGTTTGCCATCTTACTCCTGATTCCACTCATTTTATTATCTTACTCCTGATTCCACTGTTAATCTCTCCAAATCTCTTATTCATATCAGCATAGAATACTGTTGTCATGTTTGAGTAGGTATTCTTAATAATACTCTTTCTGTTCTAGACAAGATTCAAAAACGCATTGTAAACAATAAACTGCTTTATCAGCATGTCCTAATTGAACCTGCTGATGTGAGGTTGCATTTCTTTCTCTTTTCTACAAATTTTATTATAATTGTTGTTCAAAGAAGCTAGTATATCTAGTTCTATCAATCAAAACTCATTCTTACTTGAATCATATAACAAAATTGCATCTTTTTACTGTATCTGTCCCTTCATGCTTTAAAATCCCATCTTTATGCTTACCTGATTCATACAACCCTAATTTTTCAAGTTTTCTGTCCACTGTTTTATTGCTCTTTTACACTATTCCTTGTTTCACTGTCCCAACTTAATAGTGGTTCATTGCTGCTTTGTTAGGAGTAAATTAGTTAAAAAAATAATAATAAACGTTACATATCATGTTTAGGTTATATTTATACTGCATTTATATTGATTGATATATTATTGATATAGTCTTTATTATATAGTATTGATATAGCCTTTATTTTATATTATAACCTTTAATTGATATATTATCCTTTCATGCCAATATATCAGTATAAAAATAAAAATTTAGAATAAAATTTAAATTGCTTTTCCAATGCCTTTTTTTTCTCTTGCTTGATGATAATACAATATTCAATAATTAGTTTACCAATAAGTCAATTAATTTAGTTAATTATAATTAAGTTAATTTTTATAGGGGAAGTAGAAAAATAATTTTTATATGCGATTAGCAAAACTTCATGAAAAATAAATTTAACCGCAATGGCTTAATAAAATAAAATAGTAATATCAGAAAAAATTAATTGCAAAATTTGGGTTTTAATAACACATAAAAGCATTGGGTTTTGAAAATTCGTTTTTAATTTTACTTATTTTCGACTCCGATAACGGATCGTCCATAAATTATGCAATGCTAAATTTAACTAATAGACAAAACAAAAAAATCAAAAGCTTTCCTTCGCAGAGTCTTTAGTTTAATCACAAATTGCGTAATTTATCGACGATCCCTAAACCTAGTTTAAAATGCAAATTATATTTAAAAATAACAACAATCGTAAAAATTAGCATCAAAACGTGATTTAAAAAAAAAATAAAATTAAATAACATTCAACTTAAAACGTGACTTTTTTTTTTAAACAGCTAAAATCTAAAATTAATTAAAACAACTAAAATCTTAAATTAATGAAAAATATTAGTTTTTTTTTTAAACAATTTATTTTAAATAGTGTCAATACTTTAAATGCAATAAGAGGCAAAATTATAAATTTAAGAAATTTGAATTAATGTTAAATTATCAAAAGTTATTATAAAGTATATATTATTAAAAGTTGTTATAGAATTTGCATTAAAGTCTATAAATTTGACTTGAATGCAAACACTTTTGAAATTTTTGATTTTAAACTTTTTGATTATTTATAAAAATTATGTTTTCTTACGAAAATCAACTGTTTTACTTAATTTTAGGAGCAAAGTTATTCTCAAATTTTTTATGTTGTGTTTCGTGTATGAATCGAAAATCATCTTAGATTCATAAACAAAACATAACATAAAAAAATTTGAGAATGACTTAGCTCCTAAAACTAAGTTGATTTTCATCTTAAGCATCTTAAAGATGCTAATTTTATTCAATCTACTTTTTTTTTTGAATACCAAGAATAATATATTATTCTCAATAATATATCATTGTTGGTATCCAAGAGTACCAAGGAGTGTGTTAATATATTTTGATAATTCTTAGTGTGTTAATATATTTTGATATTTATTTTGTATATTAATACACACAATATTATATTGTATATATTATGTTTAGGTTATATTTATATTGCATTTAAATTTAAAATATATTATCATTTCATGCAATTGTATCAGTATAAAAATAAAAATTCAGTAAATTCAAATTTATATGTTGAACATTTTTGTATTTTATGTAGGCAATAATAGCAGGAAGAAACAAACAATTCAAATTAATAGTTTTGTAAATTTAAGTAAGTATAATTATGCTTTTGTAATGAAGCATTCTAATTATAAAATGGAAAAAGAAGTTTTTATATCAAAAGAAGTAGTTTTATTACATCCATTCACAAACCAAGTTGGCGGTCATAATTGTCTTTTAAAGTATGATGAAAGTAACATTTGCAAAATTATAGATGAAAATGAACTATCATTTTACCAAAATATACCTAAAGAACTCATTGGATTTGTACCACAATTTAATGGTAATTTATTTTGTTAATTTATTTTTAAAAATCTGTAAAATATAACACAAGTGTTCAGGTATGTCATTAGATGTTAAGAGGGTAAAAATATCTTATTTAAACTTTATTTCATTGGAACATGTTTAATCATGTTATTAAATTTATAAAATTTGTCATAAATATACAGAAATTGGTTAGGTATTACTCATATTTATAAAATAGATATGGATATGTTTTTTTACTATCTAGATACACTTTTACAGCAAAAATAATAAAATAATAATAAGTGTAAAGAATAACCAAATTAATTATGTTGGCTCAAAAGAGCTATAATTATACTAGACTATAACAAAATAGCAAAAATACATAAAGTATATATAATCTAATACAATATGTATATGTATGTATAAATATTTCATATTAACATAACATTCACCCTCTTAAAAGTGTTCAGGTGTATTTATAAGTTGAGTTTTTCTGGTGCTTTAGAAATTCGTGAAGATCTACGAGGAGGCAGGTTGATTTGCTCTATAGGATTCATTTTGTTTTCTAGTTCCCTTTCGGAGATTAAAGGAGTTTTATTGCTACCATTAGGGGTTAAGGGATAGTTATCAATAGCTGTTACTTCTAGATTGTTATTTGATATTTTTACTATAGGAGTTGTTCCAATGGGAGCCAGCTGTTTAGTAGACACTGTTGTCTCATGACCATTAGGAAATCTCACATAGGCATAATGAAGATTTGCTTCAATTAGCTGAACCTCATTTATTGGACCTTCAAATTTACTTTGCATCGCATTTCTTTTTATAAGTTTAGGTCCTGGGTTAACAAGCCATGAAGGAATTAAGGACCCAGGTGATGATCTTTGAAAATTGAAAAGACGTTCATGTGGACTACAATTAGTAGAAGTACATAATAAAGATCTTGTAGCATGAAGTGCATCAGGTAGAACTCTTCCATGATAATATAGGCAGATTTCGAGATTTCAGAGTGAGTAATATCGAATTCCAAATGATTCTATTGTATCTTTCAACTTGCCCATTTCCAGTTGGATTGTAAGGGGTTGTTCTGCTAGTTGCGATCCCTTTTCATAAGAACCAGTGCTTTAATTCAGAAGACATTAGAACCAGTGCTTTAATTCAGAAGATCCATGAACTGAATGAACATAGCTATGCATACCTAACATGGAAAAAAGATCAGCTAAACAGTTTATTATTGTTTGAGTTGTCATATCTTTTACAGGATAAGAAAATCGAAAATGTGAGTATTTGTCTACAATTGTTAGCATATATTGTTAAGACGTTGAGGAAGAAAATGGACCTTTGAAGTCAGTAGATATACGCTCGAATGGCTGAGTTGCTTTAATTTGGTGCTCAGCATTTGAGCGGTAGTACTTGGGTTTTATTTCTTTACATATTCTACGATCCCTACATATTTGTTTTACATCTTCTACTGAATAAGGGAGGTTTCTTGATCGAATAAAATGATGGAAGCATGTAACACCATGATGATGCAAAGTGCAGCATGCCAATCATATAAAGATTCTAAGCTTATTGCTGGACATCTAACTGGAGTAAATGTATCTGGACCACTATTACATTGGCCAGGACAATAATGGATATCATAAGAATATGGTGACAAAGCTATTCTCCAACGCATTATTTTATCATTCTTAATTTTACTGCTTGATTTATAGTCATACAGAAATGCCACAGATCATTGTTCAGTGATGAAATGAAATGTTGACCCAAAATCAGAAGCATCACTCTCCACAGTAAAAAGTATATTCTCATCAATGGTTTGCATGGAAGATTGAACAAGCTCATTTTTTAATGTCTCAAATGCTGATATTTGCTGCTAATTGAGTGGAAATTGAGTAACAGAGTTTAAAGGTCTAATTTTATCTGAAAACTTTTTTTATCCATTTTGCATAGTACGAGAACATTTCAATATTACGCTGTAAAGATTTTGCATTATCAGGTAAGGGTAACTTAATGAGAAGAGCAAGTCTCTGAGGATCTGGTTTTAAGAACCCATAAGATATACGGTAACCTAAAAAATCTAAAGTCTTATCAATGAAAGGAAAGCGTCAGTTAGTTTATATGTTCTAACAAAGTCATCTATTTTGTGTTGAAAACATGCAGACCCATTGGTAACTCCAAAAGGCATTCTAGTATATTGTCACAACTTGTTGTCAGCTTCAAAAGCAGTATATGGTCAATCTTTTTTTGATAAAAGTATTTGGTAGTATGCTGAGCGAATTTCTAGATCTAGTGGCAATCAATCGGCAATCTTTTGTGAGATTAGCAAACAATTCAGGAGGTTCAGTTTTCATTGCTGTTAAAGCTGCAAATGTTATGGGTGGTATTTTCCCACCATACTTAATGGTAATACTCTCATGCAACTCTTGAAAATCTGTGCTAAGAATAATATCTATACATATTATTACTCTTCAAAACAAAATCTATAATAAAGCATGTGCTAGATAACTTATGATAAGTTATCTATACAAAATCTATACTTTATTATAGTTATCTATATAAAATCTATACTTTATTATAGATTTTGTTTTAAAGAGTTATTGAAACATAGAAATATCCATCTGATTTTGCTGATAAAGAAGCTAATGCCATTCTGATTACACTCTGTTTACAAATAACATTTAAATTGAGTACAGCCACTAGTTAATTGTTAATAAAACTTTTGTTTGTACTCCCACTATCAATTAAAGCTTTTGCTTTATACTTATCATTAACAATGATGTTATGACAGACTCTGAAGAGAGAGTTTGCTGAAGCTGATATGGTGGCACAGAAGTAATCATCATCAATTTTAGGAATAGCAGCAGAAACATTAAATGATCTGCAAAGTTTTTCAAAATGACCAATGTTTTTACATTTGTGACAGATACTTCACAAGCAAGACATTTAGTACATGAATGTCTTATGTTTCCACAAAACCAGCACATTTGTTTTGATTTTACTGTTGCAGCTAAGTGATTATTGGTTGTGGATTATTTTTGTAAAGATGATTTGATTTCCTGAATAGAGGCAGAGGTAGGTATAGTTGATTGTGAGTATAAGTTTGAATTTTTTTGGGCCGTGTCTAAAGATCTAGCTTGGTCAAAGGCTGATGAAAGGTCAGTATACGCCAATGTTTTCTAGCAAACATTGGCGTATACTGTTGTAAAGTAAGCCATTTATAAATACATCGTGAATCATTTCAGATTTATATTACTCAGCACTAACAACAGTGAACTTAGATAAATTACAGTCCTTAGATAAATTTTATGTTCATTAAAGAATTGATCTATTGATTCGCTTGGTTTTTGCTTCCGTGTTGACAAAATGTGTCTGGCAAATAATTCATTCTTTGGTGTTATATAGATAGACTCAAGAATACTTGTTGCTTGTTCAAAATCATCACACTGATATAAATTTATAGACATAAATTTCAATATGGTTTATTAGGAGATTAAGCTTAATGGAATTATCATCAACTGTACTTACAAAATTGTAAAATGTTCTTAACCAATGGTTGTATGTTTTTGCTGCATCTGTTGAGTTTGGATCTATACCAAGTCTATCAGGTTTCATGAATCGATCCATCTTTCTTTTATTTCATAATAATATTCTAGTTCTTTTGATGGTAAAGAATAACCAAATTAATTATGTTGGCTCAAAAGAGCAATAATTATACTAATCTATAAAAAAATAACAAAATACATAAAGTATATAAAGTCTAATACAAAACGTATATGTATATATAAATATTTCATATTAACATAACAATAAGTTAATCTAAAAGTTTAGATAGGAACATGTTAGTGAATTATAGAAATCATACTATTAGCTCATGTAAGTTTTTTATTATAATGATTCAGATAATCAAAATAGGTTTTTATTAAAATATACTCCAAGATATTTTGTATATTTTATTAGAAGAGGTTTTTTCCTGTTAATTTAAATTTTATGTTATCAATCTTTTTTTGAAGGGGATAAATGGTTTATTAATATATAAAAGATTGTTGTCATAATTATAATTATAAATATATACAGGCCTTATTTTAAATAAAAAAGTGCTTAATGCATTAGCTTAACGCGATATTTGACGTCATAAACTATCTTTATTTTTTTTTTTATAGATGTTAAGTGTTTTAATTACCGCAATAAATAACCACTAACTAGTTCAATTTAACAATTAACTCAAATAACTATAAACATTTTAAATGTAAATATATTATTATGTTTTTAATTATTATTCTAATATTTATTTTAGTTCAATATTATTTTGTAAAAAATATATATATATTTTAGTTATTTCAAAAATTTGTTTTTCAATAATTATTGTTTTAAATCGTTATAATAATTTTTTATTTTTAAAAATTTCGAGAGTAAACAAAAAAAATTAATATATTGATAAACAAAAATCTAGGGCCATCTCGAGGGGGCCCTGCAAAAACTCTTATTAATTATATAAACAGCGATTTTGTTTTGACTAGCAAAGAATAATTTAGGTTATTAATAAGTATTTTTTTAAATTTATGTTGCTTAGCGTTTTAACTAGCGTTGTATAATTGTATAAATTTTTTTCATGTTGCTAAATATTTAGATAAAAGGTTTAGCGTAAAATTAATTGCTATTAAAAGGTAAGATGAAATTATCGCGATAAAAAGTTACTACAATTATTTTTAACGTAGCTTCTTTTTTGTAACAAATATTTTTACATATCATTATTCAGAAGTTAATGTGGTTTTTTTAAAAATTAATTATTTTTTTTACGTTACCGCTAATTTAAAAGTTAAAAAATGATAAAAAGTAGTTTAATGAAAACTGCTTTAGGCGTGCGTAAAAATTGCTTACGGGGTACGTAAATTGCAGTACCATGCAATTTACGTACCAGATTGCAAATTACGATGCAGATCAAAGGCATGACAGACAGATGTTGGAATGATAGATTAGAGAGTGTTGACAGCTATTGCACTAGATATAAGAAAGTGCAAACTATATATAAAATTGGCC